ACTTATGGTTAAATTGTCGAAGAATTACGGCTTAATAAGAAAAATTAGGAGCGTGAATTTTAGTCTTAAAATGAAGTTTAGGCTTAAAAAGCAAATTTTGGGCACAGAAATGAATTTTAAGCTTAAAAATGGATGTTAGGCTTAAAATTTAAATTCTAGACTTAAAAATAAATTCTAGGCTTAAAGATGGATTTTAGTTAGGCTGAAAACTTAAATTTTAGCTTTAAAAATGGATTTTAGGCTTAAAAGTTGAACCTTAGGCTTAAAAAGCGAATTTTCACGCTGACAAATGAATTCTAGGCTTAAAAATGAACTGTAGACTTAAAAGTAAATTTTCAGCTTAAAAATAAATTTTAGGCTTAGATTAAGCTTTAGGCTTAAAAAACTGTTTTATACTGTAAAATTAAAAACTTAATCAAAACATTACTAATCAAAACAAACAAGAGATTCGGCAGAATTTGCAGTAAACCTTTGAGGTTTTTAAGCGATCGAAAAAGGTTAAAAGAAAGCACTCCAAAATACCCGCTGCCCTGTAATTTTGTTGATCTCGCTTCGAAAGAGTTGTTTTAGGGTCAGTGAGGTTCTGACGCAAAGTAAGTTGGAAAATGGTTTTTCGAAAAAAAACGTCGAAAAGAGTATTTAAATATGCGTAGTGTATATATTCTATCTGTTTTGTCGTTCGTTCGTGTAAATGTAGTCAATGATATTGTTTTGAGGAGGGGGGGGAGGGGGGGGAGGGTGGTAGGGTTTAAGGATGGATATTTTTCTAAAAAGGGTTTATTTTCTTAGGTGGGATGTAATTGGTTAGGAAAGAATGGGTATGAGCAAATAAGAAGTAAAATGCTTTTTTTTTGGGAGGGGGGGGGATTGCAGAAAGTCAGAAAACTTTTTATAATTTTACGATTTTTGGCTTTAAAGTGAATCTTGGGCTTAAATTGAGCTTTAGTCTTGGACTGAATTATAGGCATAAAAATGAAAGTTAGGCTTAAAAGTGGATTTTAACCATAATCTTCTAATAAAAGTCTAATTCTGGCTTTAAAAATGAATTTTACGCTTTGCAGTCAAAATTTAGGCTTAAATATAAATTTTAAGCATGAACATGAATTTCTTGGCTAAAAGTGAATTCTAGGCTTAATGATGAATTTTAGGCTTAAAAATAAGTTTTAGGTTAAGAAATTGAATTTTAGATTAAAAAAACGAAACTTCAGCTAACATTCCGCTTTTAGGTTTGTAAATAAAGCGTAGCTAGAGCTTTTTATGCTCAAAATAAGTTAATTTTTGGCTTTTATATTAACTTGAACTTTTTAATACATACAGCTTACACAAATCTTTCCAACCTAAACTTATATTATAGTAATTTCTCCGCCCGCATTTTCCACAAAACCCAGTAAACAAAACAATCCTTCGACATTTAGTTGGACTGACTTTGATGATTGTATAAATCATGGCATTCTTTCTTACGTCTTTTTTTGGATTTCAGCGAATTCCAATTTAAAATTGGCCTTTTTAAAGAAAGATGGCTCGCAAAAACAAGGAGAAACGTGGGGAAAACGTGAGGTTTTAACGGAAAAACGCCGATACAAAGTTTTATAATTGAGCGCAAAATGGGAGGACTATGTTAATTTTGGTTTTCTTCGAATTTGACAACTTTTTAGGCGCGAAAACAAAAAAAACATTTATACAGTAGAACTCCTGCATAAAAAATTGTTTGGTAATTTTATATTTGTTCATTATTTTTTGATATACAGGCGTTTTAAACGCACTGTGTTGTATTGTTAGCCAGGGCTTTAAAAGTTGTTTATTACTGAGAAATGTCGTGTTATAGGTTTTTAGTATACTGGAGTTATACCTATTTTTAAAGGAGGGTATAGAGGGTAAGTAATTAGAAAAAAAGGGGGGGGGGAGAAGAGAAGCAGATGTGAGATTTTTTAGAAGGAGGTATTCTCCCTTACTCTGCTTTATATTACAATGTTTTTTAGTCTATCTTGTTTTACTTTGTCACACCTTACTTTGCCTTATCTTACTTTGCTTAACCTTACCCTACTCGCCTTTATTTACTCTACATTGCTTACTAAACCTTACATTACTCTACCTTACCTTACACTGCCATACTTTACTCTACTTTACCTTACTCTGCCTTACCTTCTTCTGCCTTATCTTTCTTTGCCTTGTCTTACACTTCATTACCTTACTCTACTTTAACGTACTCTGCCTTACCTTTTTTACCTGACCCTTACTTTACTCTTTTCTGATCTACCCTATAACTCAACATTGCCGTATTCTAACCTTATTCATCACCCTTTCTCTACCCTGCCTTAAATTTAAACCTTTATATCTCCCTTCCCTCTTCTTTCAATCCTTCTTTCTAACTACCGTGTTTAATGCGTCAATACAAACTTAATCTTTAATAAGGAAGTCAAAACAAGCTTTCTATTTTTTTAGAACAAGAAGTTTTTTAAAATTTCTTAAATTTGTCGTTTAAAATTAGCCTAAAAACATTTTTCAAATTCAGCAAATTTTGGATTTATCAACCGATCCCACTAAAAATATCAAATTTTGCAATTTGTAGGCTAAAAACGCAATTTTCGAAATTATATACATTGTTTGTTTAACATTCGACTTGATTTCTTATGGGATTAATGTTTCAACGCAAATACGTGGAGGGATTTGCGGGTGTTGTAATGGGTTTAAGCGGACATAAACATGGTGGCAACAAATTCTGCGAACACGTTTGTCGAGAAATTTTAAACATTTGTTCCTTTTGGAGTGCTATTATTTTTTTTAGAATTTTTTTTGGTATATCAGGGTGGTTTTAAGCCTTTTTTAAGCATAATATTAGAGCCAGGCCAAGCTTTGTCCCTATACAGGTTAAACCTTTTTTCAATGCCTTTAGACCCAAAAAAGCTTTTTTTGGTAACACTGAACCACGGGAAGATCAAAACAAAGTAGAAAGTTCTTATCAGTTTTATGACAGTTCAACATGTCAGCACTTGAAATTTATCTCTTTAATCAAAAAATTATACTTTTTAAACTTGCTCGTCTTCAATCAAAGTTTAAAGAAGGCTTTAATAACTGTTTACAGTGATTTTAAAAGTGTTTTTGACCTTTTAGGTTGTCCGGAACGTTCTGAGCCGTCTTGGTAGCTAGTTTAAAAAATTGTAAAAATTTAGTTTATTTTTGAATTTTTAAAACTTTTTTTGAATGTTAGTTATTATACGTTTATTCGTTGTAAAATGTTTTTCCGTGGATCTCCTGTAAAACGAACTTCCCTATAAGGATCTTCTTTCCTCCAACCTGATGAAAAATTCCAGAGGTGAAGTAAGTGAAAAATAAATTTTTTAGAAGGTTTTTACATTGTTTTTAGTTTTGTATTTGTTCTATTTCCGTAACGTTTTATCTTTTTTATAACGTTTGATAAACTATGAATCATTTGGGAAGTTTTACTGCTAGTTTTAATAGCTAGGTATACGATGATTTTAAGGCGGCTTTTAAGCCTAAAGGAGTCGAATCTTTCATTTTTAAGCTTATACTTCTTTTTTAAGCCTAGGATTAATTTTGAAATCTAAATTTTATTTTTATGTTTGAAGTTTCAGTTTAAACCTAAATTTTCATGTTTAAGCCTAAATTTTCAGTTTTAATGAAAAACTATTTTCAAGAACAAAGTTTATTCATTCAAGCCTAAATAGTCACTTTTAAGTCTAAGTTTCGTTTTTTAAGCTTGTAATTACCCTTTTTCATTATAATAAAAAAATATTTTATACCTAAAATGTTAATTTTTGCAAACTTGAAGTGTTAACGCTTGTATCAAAAAACTGTTAAAGCAAATAAAATCAAAATCATGGCTTAAGGTGAACTAATTCATCTTCCCAACACTCAAAATGACCCTTTTCCGACGGAAAACAGCGAGAAAAACTATTCGTAGAAACATAGTGAACCTCTTTCAGCTACGGTTATGACGTCAATCGTCGATTATCAAGTTTAATATTGTTTTAAACGGACCCAGTTTTTTAACAATATTTATTACTTAAAGTTGTGGGTTTAGTCGATAGTTCTATAGGCCGTTTTTGATTTGATCTGGTTTTCGAAAGAGATAGTTTAGGTTTAGATTTTAAGCTTTAAATGAACCTGTAGGCTTAAATATGGAATCTCAGGCTTAAAATGAAATTTTAGGTCTAATATGAAACGTTACCTTCAAAAATTGTTAATTTAAACTTATAGACAAAGCAGGAAAAATAAAAAGTAATGTTAATCAAAACGATGACATCTGGAGTTCATTCGTTCATCTGGACCCATAACATAACTTATGTTAATTACCCTCATTCTTGGCATGAATATGTTCTTTAGTTGGTATTTTAAGTAGTATTGGTAGTGAATATGTATTTCTTGCAGTTTTTAAGTTACGATATTTTGCAGAAATTTTCATTTTTGGGAGAAAAATTGAAAATTTTTGAAGAATTCGAACTATTTTTTATTTTTCAAGTGTTTAAAAGGATGTGGCGATGTTCTAAGGCAAGATAATAGTCACAATTTGCTTCGTTTAACATGTTTCACCAGTCTTACTATTATTTCTCTAGATTCTTGTCTTTTGAAATTTGAAAAAATGGGGCACGGTAAAATTACTGTAACTTACCGAATTTTTAAAAATTTCGAAATTTTTTTGGTGGTTTAGTTGTATAAATGAATAGTCTATAGTTACACCATTTTTAAGTTTTTAGCTGGTGATTTAAAAAAGTTACATTAAAAGCAAGTAAGGCCTTTACTTCTTTACCAAGGAGAAACAGTTGACGCAAAGTTTATGAGGGAAACTTGTCGCGAAACTGTTTTGGTCGATTTTGATGGCCCAAAAGCTATTCTTTTTTGGTCGAAACGTACTAGTTATTGTATCTTACGATCGCAAATAAGATATTAATACTATTTTTTTGTTTTATACCTACTATAATATAATTGTTGACATATTTATAATTATTGATTTACTATAATATAATTAGCATTTTTTAGGAATGTTCCTCCTCCTCTATGGAGTAATATTCGTAGCGCTTCTGGGCCAAGTTGACAGTGGATTCACAGCTGGAGTTGATGATCCTCGATCGCTAGTCAGTCAACGAGTATCATGGACACCGATCGAGAGCTATGAAGATGAATATCAGCGACATATGAGGGCGGAACAATGTGCTGCCGCTAAACCGTGCAAAGATGGGCTTATATTGTCTGTTTGGAAGCCTGTGGTAAGGGTTTTATTTTGTTGTCGAAGATTATGGGTAAGAGGAGGTTAAATACGGTTTTTCAAGAGGTTTGCTTTATTTTTCGCTGGTTTGAATAGCAAAAACTACCTAAAATAATGACAAAAATCAATTTTTTGAAAATTTTTTCAAATTTCAGGAAGGAATAACATGGTACACACGTTTCTTCCGAGCCTCTATCTACTTTATCGTGTTGGTATACATGTTTATGGGCGTTTCAATTGTGGCCGATCGATTTATGGCCGCGATTGAAGTGATCACATCTCAAGAACGTGAAGTTGTTATCAAAAAGTACAATGGTGAAAAGACGACAGTACTTGTTCGAGTATGGAACGAGACGGTGTCTAACTTAACATTAATGGCACTTGGTTCATCTGCTCCTGAAATCCTGTTATCAGTGATTGAAATCATTGGAAACAAGTTTGAGGCTGGTGATTTGGGTCCTGGAACGATTGTTGGATCAGCCGCTTTTAATTTGTTTATGATTATTGCTGTTTGTATTATCAGTGTGCCCTCAGGACAAGTGAGGAAGATCGAGAGGAACGATGTGTTTTATGTTACAGTAGTATGGAGCACGTTTGCGTACATTTGGTTGTACTTGATCTTGGCTTTCTTCTCACCTAATGTGGTGGAGGTAAGGATTGAAACTTTTGGTTTACTTTGCTTTGTCTTATAGAGTTAATAAGACAGAGAAACTTCCTTAGCCTTGGTTATATCTAACTCTAGTCGACCTGTTGCTCTAACTTGGTCTTTTATTCATCTACCTTTAATTAAATACCAATCAATGTTAATATAATTAGTATAATCTATCTTTAGGTATGGGAAGGAGTTCTTACCTTTATTTTCTTCTTCTTAACAGTAATCAGTGCCTACGTCGCCAATCGATATGCTCCTTCGTTGGGCCAAAGAATTATTGGCAAAACTCCGATCAGCTTTAGAAATCACTATCATTTGAGCAATGGACCAAAGGAAAATGCTCCTAAAATTGGAGGAATTGCTCAGAGCAACGATTTGGAAGCTGCGTGAGTTATCAATATTAATATAACATCTGGCTTCTGTATTGGCGATGTATTTTACAATTAAATTGTTTTTGGTTTCTTGATTATAACTTTTTTCAAAATTTTGGTAAAATTTTGAAATTAATTTGTGGGATTGTAGCTCATTTACTCTTCCACTTATCTTAGGAAAGAACATTTAAAAATTTTAAAAATTTTTGAAGTTACGGTATTTTTATTCTTAAAATCTGATTTTTTTAAAAGTAGGGTCAACTAAAATTATTGTAACTTTTTAAATTTTAGCAATTTCGAAAATTTCTTTTTCATGACTGATTATAAATTGAATAGGCTACATTCAAGCAAATTTTCAAGTTTATACCTAATCTTTGACAAAAGTTGTGATGAGAAAACTTGAAATGTTTTGCGATGTTTGTGGTTTTTTGGGCAAAATGAATGATTTTTAAGGTTTTTTGTGTAAAATACGAGAATTTTAGATGTCTCAATTATTTTTCTTTTTTTTCGTGGTATTTTTGAAGCTAGGATTACTTATTTTACGACATTTTTTAATACATTTTTGCTTATATTTTAAAATTTTTGATCAAAAACACTAAATTTCAGTGAACAACTAATGCAAGACACCCCAAACCCAGGTGTTGATGCCTTCCTAGAACATCGTAAACGATTCTACGACATTTTCACAGCAATTCGCACCAAACATCCGGACATGCCATTGAATGAGGTGGCTAGACTGACAGCAATCAAGACTGTTAAGAAGGAGCCGAAAAGTCGCGCGTTCCGCCGAATCCAGGCGTCTCGTGGCCTCAGCGGTGGCAAAGTCAAGAAACCGGTTGTTGATATTATACCTAGCATGACGACGTACACCTTGGTTGATCCGAGCAGCGATGCTGGTGAGAGTTTGGTTGAGAATAACAACTCGGAAGTTAGCGTGTTGTAAGTTTTTTTTGGTTTTTAGGTAATAAATGTGGGGAAAAAATTTTAGGTAACAAAATTTTAAACAATGTATTTTTAGGTAACAAATTTTCAGAAAATAGTATTTTAGATAAAAAAATTTTAAAAAATTGTATTTTTAGGTAACAAGTTTCAAATTTTTAGAATTTTAGGTAACAAAAATTTTAAAATGTTCTTTTTTTTACAAAAAGTTCTATAATCTAAGAACTTTTGGACCGATCTTCAAAAATATGACCAAAAATTTGAAATTTTGATTTTTAGGTAATAAAACTTAAAAAAAAATTTTTTTATGCAACAAAGCCCTATTTTTAGTATTTTAGGTAACAAATGTTCAAAAATTAAAAAAATATTTAACACTTAACTTTTTTAGGTAACAAAAAGTAAAAAATGATTTTTTTTTCAGTTTGCAACCCTGCCACGTGATTTGTGTAGAAGATATTGGTCATGTTAAAGTGACAGCTCATGTAAATCGAGGCAACATTCAACAACCATGTGTTGTCAAGGTACAATATAGGACGATTGAAGGCTCGGCCAAAAATAACGAAGATTTTGTGCCTAAAACTGGTGAATTGGTCTTCGAACCTTTTGAAACAAAGTGAGTATTTTATGAAATTAGGTAACAAATCTTAACTTTAAAGGTAGGGTAAGGTAATACAGGGTTTTAAACAACATAAACAAAGGTGGGGTAGGGTAGAATATGATTTGGTAGGATAAGGTCGGTTATTGTATGATAAGGTACAGTGGGATGATGTAAGGTAAAATACGCGCTAACAAGTTGTGTTATGTTGTATTACAATAACAATACTACTATTAATTTCAGAAAAGACATATCAATTGAGATAGTAGATCGTGACGACTACGAAAACGATGAAGAATTCTATGTTCAACTTCACACTCCCGTAGCACATCACAAAGACGACCATAATATCACGTACAAAGCTGCAGTGGGCGCTGCATTCGAAGCTACAGTAATCATCGTTGACGACGATCATGGAGGTTGTTTCACCTTTAAATCTGAAGTTCTGAAGCTGAAGGAGAGTGTGGGCTACGCTTATTTGACTGTGAATCGAGGTCGTGGAGCTAGAGGCAAAGTGACATTGCCTTTTAAGGTTACAGATGGCAGTGCAAAGAGGGGGAAGGATTATGATTGTAGAGATGACGAACTCGTTTTTGAGGACAAACAGACTAGGTAAGGGAGGGGAAAAGGTTTTTAGGCTTAAAAAGACCATTTTTAATTCTTTTTTTAATTTAGAAAAAAAAATTTTGAAAAATTTTTTGAATTTCAGTGCCGACATTCGAATTCAAATCTTCAATGACGATGAATATGAGAAGAACGAAGACTTTTATATTCAACTTGGCGCTCCAGTCTGGCACAAAGAGAATACGGCAGCTGAAGGAGAGCCAGATGGAAGCCCCATCCTTGGCGAACATACTAGATGCAAAGTGGCCATTATTGAAGATGATCAGCTGAAGGTAAGGGTTTTTCAATTTTTTAGCCCGGAATTGTCTAATTTGGTACATAAATGAAGGTTCTATTAATTTGTTGACCGGTTTGCTTCAAAATTTAATTTTTAAAATTATTTTAAAGTTTTTATTGACATTCTATGAACTTTTTGACCGATTATTGAAAATTATGTTTAGAGCATTGTTGACAAAGCCATCAAACACACAACATCATCATTGATGATCGGCACTTCCTCGTGGAAGCAACAATTCAAAGAAGCTTTTGAACTGAATGTGAATGATGAAGACGATGAGGATGATGATGATGAAAAGAAACTTATTACTAAAGGTAAGGAAATCCTTTAGTCAGATTAAAAATGACATTGTAAGCGAGTGTTTATTTGGAAACAGTAAAAAATTTAAAAAATATACAAATTTTTAGAAAAGGTAGGAGTGGGTGGAATTTTAAAATTTTTGGTTTTGGGTTATTTGAGATATAGAATAGTCTACATTGTCACAAATTTTTATACAGGTACCTGTCGAGCGAAAAAAGTAACATTAAAAGTTGTGTAATTAACCATGTTGATCATGATGATCTATTTTTTATTTTTAATGTAAGTTTTTGCTGAAGGCAGTTATCTGCCTTATATTTTGAGTGATTGTAGACTATTCTTATTGTCAGCTAACTCGAAAATGAAAATTTTAAAATTCTCAGAATGTTTGAAGTTACAGTAATTTTACCAAACCCTACTTTTTGATGATTTTTATTTAAAAAATGGGAAAATTATTGACTTTCTTATATATTTGTGTGGTTTTTTATATTTATATACTTATATTTATTATGTACTTACTACATTACAGCCGAAAAAGTGCCTTCGACCTTCCAATTAGTACTACATTATCTTAACTTACCGTGGAAATTGTTGTTTGCCATAATTCCTCCGACAGATTACCTCAATGGCTGGTTATGTTTTGTAGTATCAATCGTGTTTATTGGATTATTGACCGCTGTTATCGGTGATGTTGCTTCAATGTTTGGATGTACGATAGGCTTGAAGGATGTGGTAACGGCTATTACTTTGGTCGCTGTTGGTACTAGTGTTCCAGGTGAGTTATGGCGGGTTGAACATGGTTATACCGGGTTTAAAAAAGGGTTATATTAGGCTAGAAAAGGCCCTTATTGAGCTTAACAATGGCGATATTAGGCTTAACAAAAGACATATAAAGCTTAAAAATGGTGATATTCGGCCGAAAAAGGGTAAAATTTGACTTAAAAATGGCTATATTAGACCTAAAATTCTTGCCAATTGCATTTTGTTACCTAAAAATCTTTCCAGATCTATTCGCCTCAAAACTGGCCACTCAACAAGACCCAACTGCCGACGCGGCTGTAGGCAATGTCACCGGCTCCAACGCCGTTAACGTATTCTTAGGTATAGGAATAGCCTGGGCCATGGCCGCCATATATCACTCATACAATGGCACAGTGTTCCGAGTAGAAGCCGGTTCACTTGGCACTTCAGTGCTACTATTCTTGGTTGGTTCCGTGGTCTGTATTGGTGCTTTGGCATTCAGAAGGCAGAAGAAGAACATCCAAGCCGAGTTAGGCGGTCCAGATGGACTAAAATACGCGACAGCTGCCTTATTTGCAATAATATGGATTCTTTATGTGACGGTTAATTCGTTAAGCGCATATTGTTTCTTACCTTTTTAGGAATTAAGTTGAAAATTTGTTACCTAAAATAACAAATTGAGTTTTTAAGGTTTAGAAAGGTTACGAAATGAAGTTTTTTTACCTAAAATACAAAAATTTTAATTTTTGTTACCTAAAATAACAAAAAATGAATTTTTGTTACCTAAAAACGAAAACATGGCCTTTTTATCTCCATTCATATTGATATTATGAACAAACTGAAAACCTGATGGTCGAAATCTCATAATCTTCTATCATTTTTATCTTTTTTTGTATCTGTCAGATATATTTCCATAATAATTGTTTTGGTTTTGTTAAAATTTGATTAAATATTATTTTTTAAAATTTGGGCTTTGATTTTTATTTTATTTGGCTGGCGGGCGGGCGGGGTAATTTGTTTTTGAGGGAGTATTTCGAAAAATTTTTAATTTTTTTTATATGGCTGGGGTGACAGTAGGGACGATCTTTTTCAATTTTTTTGGGTGGATCACTTTCTTCTGGACTTAGACACATGACAAGGCATCAAAGATTTTAGTGCCCTACTCTGCGTCGTGGTGCCCGGTACAACGCATGTCAGTTATGTTCCCTCTCCTGTCGAGCCTTGTCTTGCCTTGCATTGCCTTGTCCTGCCTTTCTGTGCCGTATCCAGCCTCACCTTGACCGGTTCATTCTTGCCATGTGCCTAACCCTGCTACCTCCTCTCTCTTTCACCCCGCCTAAAATTTTTTTCCAAAATGAAAAAAAATCAAGAATAGTGCCAAAACCAGTGATTTGTACAAGTTTATTCAGTATAATCTGGATCGTACGTCCTTGTTTGCCTATGCTTTACTAGCTATTCTTGTCTTTCCTGTCACTGTGCTTTGGTTGTGATCCACTTCCTTCTTTCCCTGATTCATTCTTCGGAGTGGCTGCTGTCACTTCTTTTTGTTCTTCATCTTGATTTTGGGTATTATTTGTATGTTGGATTGTTCCTTTTGTTAGTTTTTGTTTTTTCCTTTTTGATGTGTCCTAGAATAAGGTTAGTTAGAGCTATGGTAATATAAAATAAGTTTTTTTAAAGAGTAAGGCATCATAAAATAAGCTGATTGAAGGCTAAGATAACATAAAACAAGCTGCTTTAGGGCTAAGAAAATTTGTGTGCCTAGAAACAATAAAAATAAGCCTAAAACCTAATGTTAAAGCCTAAAAAACTCAAAATCTTACCTTTGTTTTAGCCTTCCCCTTTCCTGAGTCCCAATCTGAAGCAACATCGTCCATTGTTGGTAGGTCATTTGCCTTCGCACGCTTACTTGAGGGCTTCCCGAGTAGTACTGTAGCCTTAGGCTTAAGAGCAGCAGCTTCTCGCCTCACTTCCAGCGTGTTCTCTCCTGTATTTCCACCTTCGGCGTCGATTGATGGAATTCCGTCCATATTGGTCTTGGTCTTATTCTCTTTGTCAACACTTATATTAGTTTTGGCGTCCATCGACTTGGACTTCTCTCCTGTCGCTGAAGTTCCACTAGAAATGGCCTAGTTTCAAGATACAAATTTTCAAAAAAGCTCAAGTTTACTACCATCAGTACCACTTATTTACCATTTGTAGTAATTTTAGTACTATCAGTACTATATTGGATAATGCTTTATAACTAGTACCATTAGTACTATAGTGGAACATACTACACTAATAGTACTATTTGTGCTATATTGGATAAAAAACCCATACGCTGGTGGAGTAAATTCGGCCGGAACATCTTTCTGTGCTTGTTCTTTTTCTAGTGCTTCTTTGTCCTCTTTCGGAGCTGATTGTTTTTCGGCTGATTTTGATTCTTTTTCTGGCTTTTTCGTTGAACCTTTTGACACTCTTTTTTGAGAACTTGTCACTTTTTCTGGATGCTTTTTGGCTGACGATCGCTTCTTGCTTTGAGTAGATGCTTTTGATTTCTAAAATGATATGAAGTATTATAAAACATAGCCCCAGCTCTGGCCCCTGTTCAAGCACAAGTTCTAGCGCTGGTCTTAGCCTTAGCTTTAGCCTTAGCCTTCGTATTAGCCTTTGTCTTAGCCGTAGCCTTAGCCTCGGTCTTAGCCTTAGCATTCGCCTTAGCCTCAGTCATAGCCTTAGCTTTTGCCTTAGACTTAGTTTTAGCCCTACCCCTTTTATAAAAAACTAACCCCATCATTAGAACCGCTGTGACTTGTACTTTTAGTCGGTCTCGTCTTTCTGTTGCCAGCACAGAGTGTCATTAAAACCGTGGCAAATACAACCGATGACATACAATATGAAGCTATGACCGTCCATTTTTCGGTTTCTGAAATTAAAAAAAAAATTTTTAAATTTACCATGGTGTAAAAATAAAAAAAAATAAAAAACTACCACGCCCGAAAAATATTTTTAAAAAAACTACAAAAATTTTTAAAATGGCCCGCCCATAGAAAATTAAAATGACCCGCCTTTATAAAAACGTTTTAAGTACTCACGTGTAAGCCATGGATTCATCTTTGTCGACGTTTCGATCCGGTTCTGGATATGAGAAAACGGTAATGACAAAAATGAGTAAACACCGACCACTTCTAATCGCTGAAATAGTAAAAATGGCAGCAAAGTTTAAAAATTTTGGAAATGCAACCTTTCAAAATTAAAAGTTTAACAAATATTCAAATTTAAGGACTTTTATAATTTTTTTCAAAATAATTTTAAAATTGAAAAAAATTCTTGTTACTCAGTCTTTTCGACATGCTCAGCTCAAAAGTCTGCCGACATTATTCAATATTCACATGAAATTCAGATACCCTACTCTACCCTATCTTACCTTACTCAAACATTCAATGTATATATGCGCTCTGTTTTAAAATCTTAATATGTTTTGGGGAAGGACGTAAAAGAAGATTAATAGAATTAAAGAGCTCATCAATCAGACAAAGCAACAAAGGTTGAGGAAAATTAAACAACAGCTGAATCGCCTTGAATAATAGAAATCTAAAGATCATAGAACTGTCTACAATAAAAACGAAAAAAAGGTTCATAAGCCTAAAACACGAGAAAGAAAATTGTTGGTAAAAGAAATGATGATCGACAGGATGATAAGAACGATAAGCTTAAGGCTAAAGATAATGCTAAAGAAGGTGACAAGAAGGATGCTAAAAATAGTGATAAAAAGGATGATAAAGAACAAAAACAGAAAGAAAAGCCTAAAGATGAGAAGAAGCCAGAAGTCGACCCGGACCTTGTAGAAGTCAAAGAAAACACTGTAAGATCGTCAAGGGGTTATCAACATACGCTCGGATAGAAAGATAACTCCAGAGGAGAAACCGGAAGATTCAGAATCAAAAAACAAAGCACCAAAACCATCCACTAAAAGCTCGAATACCTCGAAATCCAAGGAAAAACGGAAAAGCGACAATTCTGAAACTACCTAAACTCAATTATCTTATTGTATCCGAAAAAATAAATATGGTTTTAGATTTTAAGTTTCCAATATTATAATTTAAGGTTCGTTTCAATCCTGTTTTTGCTTTTAACTATGCTTCTAGATTTTAAAAACCTTTTTTGTCTGTGACTGCTGAAAGTGATGAATGCGCGGTGAATTTTTAACTGACAAAAGCTCATTCAAATTTTAAAACAGGTGAATTTAGCACAAAAAATTAAGCTTGAAAAATAATAAATCATACATTCTAATCGTGAAATTAGTTTATTAACAAATTAACAACGACATTGTAAAGTACGTTGGAAAAATACCAGTAATGAAAAGGTTAGTAGTAGTAGAAAAATGATTTTTCAACAAAATTGGCTCAAAATTTGAAAAATAAAAGATGTAAAATTGGAAAATAGAGGCTAAAAGATAAATAAGCCAAATAGTTAAAAATCCATAAAAGTACTACCTAAAACCAGAAAATAATAGTGATCTGAAACAAACTTTTAACAACGAAATTTTTAATTTCAATCGTAACATCCTTGAAGTCGCCATATCCAGTCCATTGACCTAAGGAACCTCCTTGTCCCAGCCCATTTCCTTCCTAACGGCTTCTTCGTCTTCTGGAGTGAATTCGCCTTCGACTCCAAACATTACCCTCAACTCAGCCGGAGTTTTTCCTTTGATCTTGTCAGCCACCGTCTTACAGCCAATTTCCAACAACAAGCGGATGTCCAAATAATTGGCGGCCATGATTATGTTGAACAACGTCTCATCATCAACATTCATGAATTCTTTTTGCCAGTCGTCCAACTTGAAGGTATGGGGCTCGATTGAGTCGGGATCCTCAAGGATGGGCTCGTCCCTGTGGTGGTCGCAGAATTCGATTACTTTTTTCAAAGTGGCACCATCCACTTTCGAGAGTGGAATTGGGTCTTCTAATCCCTGGGACTCGTCGACAACAAGACTTTTGCACATTTCGCTCAACGTGCCGGATTGTCGAAGAATGGCGTAGTCGACGTTGAAGTTTTGGTCGTCATTGGATTGGAGAACAATGTTGGACATTTTAGTGAGATCGACTGAAAAAGAAATGGTAGGTTTATTCACAAGGAATGAGACAATAATGATTAAAAACGAAAGAAACCCGGCTTTTATACTGCCCAAACTACAAAAAAGCTCCGAAAACAAGCCATCTAGCAAGCCTGTAAAACTACGATAAAGCTCTTTAATGTTTTGAAGGCAGAGATCAAAATCGCGTTTCAAATTTCCCGCCAAGTTGGCATTGTGTCTCAAGCTTATAACTTTCTTATTTTTGACTTTTAACAATTTTTCTTTAATATAATGATAGAAAAACTTCAAATAAACCTGCAATTTTTAATTTGTAAGACTACCTTACCTGGAACATCAAAAAAGTGCTTGAATCACAATTCCAAATTGCCAAGTTGCGGGAAACTAAATAATTTAAATTTAAAACTCAAAAGCGCAAGCTAAAATTTTTTATGGGTACTATTGGTAATACAAAAGCCCTATCTAAAAATTTTGAGCTGATTCTGAGAGGAGCAGTTAGGGTACTTTCTCTGTAAGGTATAACTCATGCGCCAAGTCAAAAATAAGGCTCAACCCTAGGGTTGGTCATTTGCCGGTAAATGTAAATTTACCGGTAATGTTACTGGTAATTTACCGGTAAATTTACCAAAACTTTTGTTTTGAAAAAAAGGTGTTGTCCCACCACGAAAATGATTTTTAACTTGTTTTTGTCTTAGAAAATTAGAAAAATGTCGACGAAATAAAAAAACACATAACAGCTTTTTTTGTCGTTTTTGTTGTTTGAAATACTTAAGTAACCTTAAATAGTTCTATCAACAACTTCTGTTGGAAATATACAAGAAGAAAAAGTAAAATTTTATTTTTAAACTATTTTTTAACAACGAAGAGGTTGCTAGCCTCGAATGCTTACAAGAACACTATTATCAAGTTAAAAAAAGGCAATTAATTGTGGACAGAACTAATGTTCGATATGAGCTTAGTACTGATAAATGTGAAGGTGAGATTGAAGAAAATAGTAAAGTTAAAGATATTTTTGTCGATTTAAAGATAATTTAGATGTCAAACTGGTTAAAACCAAAATCAAATGTTTATTATTACATTTCTGTTGTAGTTTTAAGAGTTATTATACGTTTTTGAAACATTTGTAAATTTTTAAGCAACGAAAACTAATTCGGTAAATTTACCAGTAAAAACCGGTAAAATTTTTAACGAAAAATCAATTTACCGGTAAATGTCCAACCCTACTCGACCCACGACAACCCTAACGTACACTTTAGACCAAGCTTTTGTAAAATACGATTTATAAATAAAGCATTTTTTTAAATTTTAGTTTGTTTATCTACTACGTTTACGAATTTCCAGATTTTTATTTTGCTCCAGACGATTATCATTTCATTACCTTTTTTTTGTTTTCGGTTCAATTTTATGAGGATTTTTAAAGGTTCAGCTGTAAATCATATAACTTGAAATGCCAAGCACATATGAGAGTTGGTTTTTCTTATTTTTTGTTATATTTTTTGTTCAGCCAGGATCAGATTGGCTATGAAAGAATAAGATAAGCTAAGCTAGCTTACAACAAGATATGATACAGCAAGAAAGAGCATTTTAAAGCAGGGGCATTGAAAAAAGGGTGTAGAAGTACAGGAGTAGGTACTAGATGATAGTTTTGTAATACAAAGTACGGTAGGTTAGAGAAAAGAAGGGTAGGGTAGGGTATGGTAGGGTAGGGTAGGGTAGGGTATGGTAGGGTATGGAAGAGTAGGGTAGGGTAGGGTAGGGTAGGGTAGGATAAAAGATTTTTGAAATTTTTTAAAATTTTTAATTTTAAAATTTTGATGCTTTAATTGTTTCAAAAAGCCTTTATATTATCGAAATTGAAAAAAAATCAATTTTTGATATTTCAAAATTTTTTTTCAGAATTTTATGGTTTTTCACCTTCCGTTCTTCACAGCTTTATGACATATCACTTTCAAAGATATGAGCAAACTATTTCCAAGCACTTGAACAGTTGAAACAACGTGAGGAGGAACTCTCACGGCCGCGTTTTCGGCCGTTTTCTTTTCCACCTGACTATCAATCAAATCGAGCGTATTGGCCTGGTATTTTAACAACTTGCTGTTCTTAAAAAACGTTTTTTGCTAAAGTTCAACGTGGATGGGTTAAGATGAGAAGGAATTTAAGGATTTATGATTTTATTTCGAAGATCAGGAAGTTTTGGTTAAGGATTCTTTGGGATTTTAATTTTTGGCCAAAAAGTTTTTGGAATTTAAAATTTTAGTCAAAATTTTTTGGAAATATGAAGCTTTGGTACAATTTTGGTAATTTTACATTTTGGTCTAAAAGTTCTTGGAAAATTAAAATTTGGCCTAAAAGTTCTCACAATTGTAAGTTTGGTCGAAAAACTTTTAGAATTTCACATTTTGGTTCAAAAGTTTTTAGAATTTTACATTTTGTTCAAAAAGTCGTTACAATTTTAGCTCTTGGTCCGAAACTTCTTACAACCTTAAGCTTTTGTTAAAAAATTCTTGAAATTTTACACTTTGGCCAAAAAGTTCTTAGAATTTACATTTCAGTCCAAAAGTGTGAAAAATTTTGAACTTCGGGTCCAAAATTATTTTTAAAATTTTCGTTTTTTAGTGCAAAAATTTTTAAACTAAATTTTTGTTTCAAAAGTTCTTAAAGCATTAAAGTTTGGTTCTTAAGGGCAAAAGTCTTTGCATCTTGGAATTTGGGTTCAACAGTTTATAGAATTTTAAGGCTTGGCCCAAAAGGTTTAGAAATTTTACATTTTAGTCTGGAAGTTCTAACCATTTTGAGATTTGGTTCAAAAGTTTTAATTTTTAATCGAAAATTTTGTTGATTTTAGCGTTTTTCCGTCATTTTTCTTATGGCAAGTATTTTTTATATTAATATAAAAATTGTTGTTATAGCTTGGTATCTTTTTCTTACTACAATACTACGGTTACTTAACCTTAAAACCGGTATACCAGAATGAACGGTAAGTCAAAACCATTTAATTCTTAAGAAAATTAAATTTTAGACAATATTTCTGTTACCTTATTATCAAAAGTTGTTCATTTCCCCACAAAATCCACGTCAATCGATCAATAAACTTAGCAAATCACTTTTTTTCAGATCCTCGAATTGCAGACGTTATTGATGACATTTTGAAAACGAATGACGGCCGAAAATCGGACGTAGCCAGAGGGTTACTGTTCAATGATCAAGTGCCATTTGTGGAAGAGGTCATTAATACGACTCAAGGCCCTACTCATGATTCATATCAAGTCAAAGTTGAGGCGGTTTATGACATTGAGCGGCCTGGAAATAACTTTAAGGGACCTGTCACTAATCAGTAAGTCATTTTTGAATGTTTCTAATATTGGCCTGTTTACAGTTTTAGTTAAGAAACAATAAGTTAACCTTAGGTACAGTACTGTAGGGTAAGGTATAGTAATTTAGAACCCTTTAAAGCGACGTATAGTAAGAAAAGGTGAGGTAATAGAAGTAGGTTTGTAGGGTAGGGTAGGGTAGGGTAGGATAAGTTAGGGTGGGATAAAATAGGGTAGGGTAGCGTCTTTACATTTTAAAACCACTTTCTCTTTTTAGTAAGCTACTGTTCCACGGCACACCAAAGGAAAATGTCTATTACATGCTTCGAGACGGTTTCAAGAAGGCTATTTTGTCGGTAAGTAACTACAAATCACGCTATCATATCTAACCTTACACTACCTTTACATATTATTCTATTTTCAGGAAAAGTCCCCATTTGGCAAAGGTTATTACTTTACCACATGTGCTTCGAAAGCTTTGAATTTTACGAATTCCAAAGCCAAAGATGCTCCAGAACAAGCTGATGAAGGTGAGATTAGCCCACCAGAAGGTGTTCAGTACTTGTTCTTGACTGAAGTTGCACTTGGAAAATCCAAGGATATGACAAAGCCGGAAAGGACTGTGTCAAAGTTCATGCAAGATGCTACGAGTGTGTACGGTAAAGGGATTCATCGACCGACCGAGAAATTGTGAGTTGGTCCACAAATTTATAGAATTTTATTTTTTAGTCCAAAAGTTCACAGAATTAAAAATATAACAAAAGTAATCACATTTTCTTTAGTGAATACCCTGGAGATGTCCCTATTGAAGTAGGTATGGAGCTTCGAAAAGATGAAGCCACGTCCTCATCTTTCCAGTACGATGAGTACGTCGTCTTCAACGCAGAACAATGTCGTCACAAATATCTGGTTAAAGTCACTGTTGTACCCAAGAATATCGCTTTGTAAAATACGAATTACAATACCTAACCAATAAATTTTTTTTTATTTTAAATTTTAGGTCAAAAATCCATTGTTAAGCCTAAAGTTGTAGTTTTAACTCTAAACTCTTACTTGTAAGCCTAAAGTTCATTTTGTAAGCCCAAAATTTGGTTTTTAAACCTAAATTCCGTTTTTAAGCCTTAATTTTATGTTCTGCCTAAAATTTCCTTTAAACTTAACTTTTAGTTTTAAGCCTAAAATTTTGTTTTTAAGCATAAATTTTTATTTTTAAACCCAACTCGAACTTTCATTTTCAAGCCTAAATTTAATTTTTATGCCAAAATTTTCATTTTTAAACCTAACTTTTAGTTTAAACCTAAGTAAAGTAACTCCGATTAAAAACTTTGAACTTTTTTTGTTTATTTTCCCATAAAATATACAGTACAACAAGAAATAAAAGCATAACCGAATGATGAAATATTGATATATGTACGCAAAGTCATAGCTCAAAAATACAACGGCATTAAATATATCTTGTGTTGAATTATTTGTTCTGTTGAGATTAAATTTATACAAAAAAAAGATGCACCGGAATGTACTAGAAGGGTCAAAAAGTTTATGGAAAATTAAAAACAGGCCTTCGATTTTCAAAATTTGTGAAAAAAAATCAGGTTTTTGGTCGATGTTTGGCTCATTTTTTAGCGAAATTTTGACCAAAAATAGGTCGAAAGAACAAATTCCGTTGAATTCTTGACCGATCTATAAACTTTTTGACCGTTCCAGTACAAAATAAATGGTAGAAAATATAAAAAATTAGGTTGTAAGTACAATATTTACAAAAATTCAGAAAAACTTTAAAGTTTCAAACGAAAAACATAATGAACATACAGTGAAACTCTGTCTTACAGACTCGTGCAATAACAAAAAACTTATGAATTTCCTTATGAAACCCCAGCTAACACTAGACAATGCTTTTAAAACTCCTCTATAAAAAAATCCGAGAGAACAAGTTCCAATCCCCAAACAATTGGTTTTACATATAGGGTACTGGGCTCTGGACAGAGTTCCACTGTTGTTCAAACTTGAATAAAAGACAATCGACCAATTCTTTTTGACGCGGTAAGATTATAATATGAATTAGATGTCATTAACATGTAAAAATATAACATAACCGTATACCCAAAAATAGTTTTCAAATTTTACAAGTTTTTGAATTTTAAAAAAAGCCTTGTCGTCAATTAACATTAGTTTTAACAGCGAAAAACGACAAGACTTTTTTAACCTTAATAAAAACAAAACTTTGAAATTTTAAAAATTGCAAATAACATAAAATTTCAAAAATTACAAAAAAAAAAACTTGAAATTTTAAAAATTTAAACGACTTGACCAGGAGGGCTCTTTTTGAAGGTAGCCGGCTTCAAAAAGTGAGTTGATATCATGTTTTGTGTCGTTGGCATATCCACCATTTCGTCCTTCATGAACCGATAGGCTCTGTAAACGACCGTTTCGAACCACATTCCAATGACAAGACATAGCAAAATGGCAACCATTTGGAAGAATGTTATCCATCGGACCACTGAAAATTGAAATTTTAAAATTAAAAACTTAAAAAATTTTTTTTGGTTGCCATGCCCTGCTTTGGCTTGCCTTGCCTTGCCTTACGTTGCCCTGCTTTGCTTTTATCCTACTTCTTCTATAACTTCTCCTACCCCCTGACGTTACATTGCCTTGCTCTGCTCTGCTCGTACACTGCCTTATCCTATGCTCACCATGTCCTGTCTTGCCCTTCCCGACTTGTACCTGGGCTTTAACCGACCCTTACTATCCCCTTACCCAAGTTTTTTACCCTCCCCTCTTCCGTGCTAGGTATTGAAATTGTTACCTCTTTCCTCAAGTTCATAAGCTCAAAACTTTGCAAATCTACCTTAATATTCCCCATACATAATAAAACCTCATTTTAGGTATCAACTTACTTCTTCCTTGAATAGCATCTCTCGTCGTGTACTCGTTACTCAGTGACGAGATCAACTCCACAAACAAGTAAAACACGGACACAATGTAGATAATGCCATATAACATGACTCCGACAAAGTTGGTGATGAGGAAGGGTACAAAGAGTTGAGGTTGTTTGAAGTTGATGGCCAGAATGATCAAAAGATACATCAGAAGACCGCCGATCGCAAAGCCGAGTTGGTAATACATGCCGTAAAAGGCGGAGAAGCCGATTGCTACTATGCAGGAGAGCATGCCTAGTACTCCGATTATTAGGGCTCCGGTCTGAAAAGGAAAAAGTTAGGTTTGAAATGTAAAAAAGATTAAGAAATGGCAATAATTAGTGTTTTTAGGCTAAAAATAAGCCTTTTCTGGCTAAAAGTAAGTGTTTTAGGCTAAAAGTAAACAATTTTAAACAAAAAATAGCCGCAACTAAAGATTTGTTACCTAAAATAAGCTATAAACTGTACTTTTTTTACTTAAAACTAGCTAAATATTACGATTTCTTACCTAAATTAAGCTAAAAATTGTGATATGTTACTCTAAAATAGATAAAAACTATAGTTTGTTACCTAAAAATAGCAAAAAACTTTAATTTCTTACCTAAAGTAACCTAAAACCCTTGATTTGTTGCTTAAAACTAGCTAAAAACTACGATGTCTGACCTAAAATAAGCTAAAAAACTGTAACTTGTTACCTAAAAATAGCTAAAGATTAAGGTTTTTAATTGAAAAATAGTTTAAAAATGAAGGTTTTGCACTAAAAACTAGCCGGAAATCAACAATTTAATCAAGAAAAATGCAAAAAAATCAACTTTTGTTACCTAAAATGAGATGAAAATAAGCACTTTCTATTCAAAAATGAGCAAAAATAAAGGATTTTAGACTTAAAAATGCAAAAAATTATCGTTTGTTACCTACAATGCCAAAAAATAAAAAATGATACCTAAAAGTAGACGACAATAACATAAAAAAATGACAATTTAAAAAATGCCCTACTGATAAAACGTTTCCTTTTAAATTACCCTACCTGCACATGAAATCCGCAACAACACGTGGGCCTCACGCCGTAGTCGTAGCTGTAGTTGTGGAGTTGTTTCGTTGGGTAGTCGCACTTTTGCATGTTTTCCAACTCGGTTTGAAACTTTTTGTCGATTATGAGTTTTTTCGCAATGATTGCAACTTTTCTAAAATTATATATTACACTGGATATTAAAATTGAAATTAGTTTAAAATTACATTTTTTGCAAAAAAAAGTGTAATTAATAATAGTAATTACTCGAATTGGCACGCAAAGTATGTTGTTGTACAAAAAGTAATAGTAAACAAATTTTGGGGGAAGGAGTAAGAGGGAAGAGTCTACAGCTCTAATAGCTAGCCAAAGGAGGTAAGGTTAAACCTGCTTTTCGGGCCGGGCTTTAGACTAGCCGGACCAAAGAAAAAGTACAAACGGTCCAAGCCAGACCTAAAAATAGTCCCGACATGGCTCGAAAGCCAGGTCGAGGCAAGGTTAGAGGGAGGGGGAGGGGAGGCCATGATAGGCTTGAATAAGGCCAGGCGGGATAAGCTTAACATAAAGACAGAGCAAACCAAGGAAATTTTTGGAGTAGGGGTAAAACAATTATATTAAGGATAGGTACAAAAGTTAGAATAAAGTATGTCAAAGGCTAGGGCACTGAGCTAGGGCTCTGGGCTAGGGCTCTGGACTGGGGCTCTGGGCTAGGGCTCTGGACTAAGACTCTGGACTAGGGCTGTTCAAATACAAATACAATGAACTAAAATGGCAATAAAAATTTTAAAATTTCCAAAATTTTGGCAAAAACTATTTAAAAAATGTGAAAAGTCCACCCTCCACAAGTACACCAAAATAACACTGTTATTCCGAGTAGCACATAATATATTGACGTAACGTTCCGCAGAGACCCTCTGGTGACATGGAAATGTCATAAAAGGGTTCGATTAAAAAAGTGCAGGAATTGGCGCAGCCACTTGGTTAAATAGGTCTAGTGTAATATAATAAGAGACAAGTTGGTCAGCGTATTTGTTGTTTACATAGTGTAGAGTAGAAGATAGTAAATATGTGTTCAGATTATAGTATCAAAATGCAAGGTTTAGTAAATAATGTCATTAAACAGCAATAATTTTGGGAGCACTGGGTAGGGAAAGGTGGGGTAGGGTAAGGAAAATTAAGGTAGAGTTGGATAGGGCAGGGTAGGGTAAGGTAGGGTAAATGAGAATAGAGTAGGGTGAGGTAAAAAACGTTGAAAAATGCTAAAAACAAAAATTTTTTAAATTTAGTAAAAAATTTTAAATTTCAAAAACTCCAGATTTCAGGAAGTTAATTATTTCCCACAAAACCCAATGCCCTGAGGGCATAAAACAACTCCGGATTTGGAGATAAGTTACAGCGCGTTTATAGTAAAAAATCGTGCGGGTCAATTGGTCCGGCCCTCAGGGACTTTAATACAAATTGCAAAATTGTTCCAAATTTTACTTTTCCTCTTTGTGTTAAAGCGTTCACAGAGTAATACATTTTTAAAAGGTTTTTAGTTTCTTCAAAGTTTGAGGCTACGAAACGAAAATTAAGACTTTTTTAGGCTTAAATTAATTTTTTAACTGGGAAATGAATTTTAGGCTTAAAAACTAAATTTTAAGCTTGAAAATTAATTTTAGGCTTAGAAATAAATTTTAGACATAAAAAAAAATTTTAGGCTCAAAAATGTATTTCAGGCTTAAAATAATCCGCTAGGCATGAAGCCAGATTTTTTATTCAAACCAGGTAATGATGTGACATTTATATATCTTTATTTAGAAACATAACAAAGTTACGTCCTTAAAATCATATTAACTTTATAATATTGTTACCCTCGTTATAATCATACAATAAAAGTAAATAAGAAATTTAGAAATATAGTGCTGAGAATTAGCACTATGATTTTATTACATAAACACAAAATGTCAGTCCCTTCGGGTTGCTTATATAGAGACAGTACTGTATTTGCATTTTAAATCTTACAAAACGTTTGAGCTGACCCAAAACTTTTAAAAATAACCGAAAATAAGTTACTCGCCTCGTATGATATATCCGAATGACGTGCGCTGTGCTGAAAAGATAACAAACGAGCGTTTTTTGTGTTTTGGAAGGAAGGATGAACAGAATCTTTGGAAGTTGAGCTATCAATAGCTTTCCGGTTACAATCCGTTGAGTTCCCCATTTACTATGGCGTACTGTGAAAGGTTTGCGGAGTGCTATGTAGTACTTTAAGATTTGAATAGTACTGTTGTGTACAAGAAAGCTTGGTAATACTGCATAGTACACAAAAATTTGCAAAATACTACGCAGCTTCCAAAATATAAAATAGTACTATATAGTACTAAAGAAAATAAAATACTAAGACCTATTAAAAACAAACCAGCAAAGTAAGTTAAGATAGAACAAAAGTCAGATATCCGAAAAGTTTAAAAAACTCCAAAAAAGTAATAGAATTTTAACGTTCACGTTACTAACCACATTACTTTTACATTTTACTATGTTTCTACAAACCAAATTTTTTTTTAAATCAATAAAACTTTTGACTCCTTTTTCTATAGGCTTATCCTAACTTTACTCTAGCCCTACTCTAACCACGCCCTAGACCTACCTTAACCCAACCCTATAACCTACAGTAACTTTTATTCTAGCACATACTCTAACCCCTACCGCACTTTTGCCCTACCCTAGCCTTACGCTACCCTGCCTTAGCCATACATCAGCCCTATTCTAGCTATACCGTAGCTTTACTTTAGCCCTACTCAAGTCCTACCCTAGTATTACCTTAGCCCCCTAGCCCCTAAGGTAATACTAGGGTAGGACTTGATTAGGGCTTCTATTAGCTCTGCCTTAGGCTTACTTCAGTTTATATCTTATCTCTACAAACCTGCCGTAGCTTTTATTTTAACCTCTGTTTCTTTTACCGTAACTTTAACACTTGTTTTGGTTTTATTCTATTTTACCCTATTCTTGCTATTAACATGGTCCTTACTCTTGCCTTCTCTGTAAACCCTACTCTAAACCTTAAACCCTACTGTAACCTCAACCTTAAACACCAAGCAAACTTGCACCCTAGACTGAACACCGGCCCGTACCCTACCCAATGTATATTTATACCAAAAATGTAAAAGCCAACCCATTCCACCCTACAGTAGGTCTTTTACATTAAGCACGTACTTCCGCAACTCTGTCGTTCTCCCCACTATAAATGTATATTATTGTTTTTCACAAAATTTCCAGACAATTTAATGTTATCCATCATGGGATCTGTTTTCGCTGCTAACTATGCTATTTAGGCGTTTATGCCGCGAATATATACCATAACTGGCCAGAACACATAAGGAAGTTATGGCGAGTACAGAAAAGTTCCGGTCATCCATCTGGCATATTGCACATGTTGTTTGACCTTTTAGGGCATGGTAATGGCAGTAATAAGTTTCAGTTATAAGACTTAAATTAATTAATGCTTAAACTTTAAGCCTATAATTTAATTTGAAGCTTAAAGTTCATTTTTAAACCTAAAATTCATTTTGAAGCGTAAAATTCAATTTTTTGTCAAAAATTCATTTTTAAGCCTAAAATTCATTTTTAAGCATAAAATTTATTTTTAAACCTAAAATTCATTTTTTAAGCCTAAATTTCATTTTTAAGTCCAAAATTCACTTTTTAAGCCTAAAATTCATTTTTAAGCATAAAATTTATTTTTAAACCTAAAATTCATTTTTTAAGCCTAAATTTCATTTTTAAGTCCAAAATTCACTTTTTAAACCTAAAATTCATTTTTTAAGCCTAAAGTTCATTTTTAAGCATAAAATTTACTTTTAAGCTTAAAATGCTTTTTCAAGCTTCATCTTGATTTTTAAGCCTAAAAACTAAAGAAAAAGGCTGATACTTGAATGTTACCGAAAATTTTCTTCGAATTCCCAAAATGCACTGTAAAACAGTAAATATTTCAAAACTTCAAAAAAAAACGAGTCCAATGGAGTCAAACGCCTAAAAAAGATTGTATATTACACGACCAAATAGAATTGTTACTTAGACATGCTATGTTATGACACAATGGATGCACTCTCGATCCTTGTGCCGTCGTGTAACAGTACAATTAAATAATTGAGTAGAAGATTTCGCATGCACTTTGAGGGCTATTATACACTTGTACAATGGCGTAATTGCATACATTTGAAATACTATGTGTAAATCTACTGTATCTTAAAGCTAGCTCTAGCCCTAGAAATAGCTCCGGAACTAACTGTAGCTCCTATCCCTACCTTTATCCCTTTTCCTATCATATCTTTCAACACCCACTAGACTGAAGACCACTACCGTGACAATACCTTCCCTACTCAATCCTAGTCATACCGTCACTCTAAACCACTGTAACCGATCCAATACTAGTCCTTACTTACTGTGACCCGATTGTGCTTTGAGCTGCATACGTATTAAACCGTAAACGTAAAACCCTCCCCAACACGATTACATTAAAAAAAATTGTAATTACAATGTGTGAAACGTATAGTCGTACAACATAAAAAAAGTGTCTGGTATTTGAAACATGTGAAATATAGGTCTCAAAGTAATACGTAAAGTCTGACGAATGTAAAACATTTTCAAAATTACACGTTTTAAAAATTTTTTTTTGCAATTGAACTCCATGACAAAAATGTTGCGTTTATACTGTAATATTCGGCAAAAAAAAATTTCTACCTTAAACTTATTGTGCTCTGTTCCTACCTTGGCCATTGCCCGATCTTACATTTGCTTTACCCTACAGTAGCACTAATCTATACAACTTAGCCGTATCTTAGCCAAATTCTGCTTTTACATTAGCTTTGAGATACCCACACTTTACCTTAGTTTTGTCCTAGCCCTTCCCTATACAGCTTAGCCTAGCCTTACCCTGGCTCTACCTTAGCTTTAGCTAAGGACTGCTTTAGCCCTTTCCTATTCCTACTTCAGTTCTATAATACTATCTAGCCACACCCTAGCTCTATCTTAGCCCTATGGGTTCTATCGTAGCCATACCTTGCCTTAGCATAGACTAGTCCCCTTCTTAAGCTCTAATCTGTAAAAACAAAATTAAAAAGTAGGATGTTCAAAACCTAAAGGCAGCTCAAAACTTACATTATAAACATTTAATATGTGTTCAAACATTTTACCCATGCCAATTCAAAGAACCGTAGTTCAACTACATTTTTTTGCAAAGCGATGAGAAAATAAACTTGCTTGCGTACCATTGTTTTGAGTTAATTTCTTTACAAAACTACGTATAATCTATCATCCACACCCATTTAAACGAAAGTTTTGGCCGTTATAAATAATTCCAATAAATTAAAAAACTATTTTAAATTTACTGTATACGAGAACTAAAAGTTCATATTATTAGAAGCCATTTAAAATCCGTTTCAAAAAGATATATTTATAAATATGCAAGTGAAAAGTATAATACACAATGTATAATATACATTGTTGACAGAAGGAGAACAAAGACAAAGGATTAATATACGGAAATGGAAAGATTTAAGTATGTACGTAACATAATTAATTTATAATCTACCCCTTATAGCTAAAAGTACACGCCTTGCCTTGCCTTGCCTTGCCTTGCCTTGCCTTGCCTTGCCTTGCCTTGCCTTGCCTGCCTTGTCCTAGCATGCACTATCCTTGTGTTACCACAGCCTTACTCTTGCTATACGCTTACCTTACATTTTTTCTACCCTTGCTCTACCTCACTCTAACTTTACTTTACTCTTGCTCTGTTGCACTAACACTATAACCTCATACAAATTACCTTGCTTATAAAATTTAATTTACCCTTCATAATTTATCATACCACCCAATATTTTTTACCCTGCCACGCCCTACCTTCTTAACTTATTCTTTCTTTTTTACCTCCCCCCCCCCGCCCTTCCTAATATTAATAAAATAAAAAACCCCTTCCCGCAAAACTTTTATAGCCTCTTAAAAAGCCCAAACATAAGCCAAACGTTCGGCCAAGGCCAAAAAACCAACAAACGAATGTATAATTTGCATAAAACGAATAAGGTAAACAAAGTGGTCGATTTCCAATTTGCAAAACTTATTTTTTCCCGTACTCAACTATTCCACACATCAGTACGAGCATCTTTTCCGGCCATTTCCGCACTCTGCAAATCCCCTCGAGGATCGGGGCCGCAAATGGAACGGATAAAAGACCAATAAAATCTCTCGCCAATTGGGGGTGGATAATACAAACAAGCGATTGGACATTGGAGATTACAGTCCAAAGCACAAACAACAAATACTGTGCTGATGAGTTGGGCTTTGGTATTTGGTATTTAAAGGGTTTTTCCGTCTGATGGGTAAAAATGGTTATGATAGAAGCAAAGTTCTCAAATTCAAACTTTTAGGCTCTGGCTGGAGCTCCAGCTTTGCCCTTTTTTACTTTTAGTCATGAATCAGGCCTTGTAGCAATTTAAAAATTACATAAGAAAAAATTACTAAATGACTTTTAGGCTTAAAAAATAAAGTTTAGACATAAAAGTGAATTTTAGGCTTGAAAAATGAAATTCAAGCTTAAAAATGAAAATTTAGTCTTAAGAATTAAATTTTAGGCTTAAAAGTAAAGTTTAGGTAAACTTTAGGCTTACAAGTGAAATTTTAGACTTAAAGATAAATTTTACTTAATTTTCTTTTTGTCTTTAAATCAAATACAGTTTTTAAGCCTAAAAGCTTAAAAAACAAACAATTTTTTAAAACAAGAAAGCCTGACTTACCTTAGTCCTTACCTACCCTTACGTTCAAAAACAAAAAACTTCGAAACCAAAGAAGTCCCTTAAAGTACGAAGTCAAAGAAAACTTCTAGTCAACAATCCAACCGACCATTCTTTGATTGTCTCAACCCTAAACATATCATCTTGACGCGTTCAGTCTGTCCTTAGGCTATTGTTTTGGCTGATGTGTTTTGACAGATTGATAATACAAGTACAATCATCTTATTGGTGTACTATAATATAACAAAAAATATGGTTTTGGGATTAAAAGATTGTAGAATTAGACTATTTGATCCAAAAATTTGTAGAATTTTGAGATTTGGTCTAAAAGTTCATAGAATTTTAAGACTTGGTCAGAAAATTTATAGAAATTCCGCTTAGGTCCAAAAGTTCATGAAATTATAAGTTTTCTTCTAAAAACTTAAAAAACCCTATAAATTACCCAAAATTCACCATCCGACGTTCACTTTACTTCGCAGTACATCTGAAATTTAAAATTGTTAGTTAATGTTGTTTTCCCCGCAAAGTAAATTGTCATTTTGCTCACGAATTTAAATTTATATTTACGCGAGTTCAAATGCAGAATGGTAAATAACAAAACACGTGCTGATACAATGATGTTATGATTTTTATAAAGTACATGGCATTTAAAGGGTGGAGAGATTGCAGGGCAATTATTATTTAACACAAGTGCCAATTTGAACTTATACATAAGGTCAAAAGCACTATGTACTTTGTACGGACGGATGTTCTACAAATATCGGTCATATGAAAAACTAACTTGGTATTAGGCGAGCTTTAGCTTTAGCCTAAGCCTGAACCTGAGCCTGAGCCTGACCATGAGCCTGAGCCTGAGCCTGAGCCTGAGCCTGAGCCTATGCCTGAGCCTGAGCCTGAGCCTGAGCCTGAGTCTGAGCCTGAGTCTGAGCCTGAGCCTAAGCCTGAGTCTGAGCATGAATTTGAGCCTGAGCCCTGAACCTGAGCCTGAGTCTAAGTTTGAGCGTGAGCCTGAGTCTAAGTTTGAGCCTAAGCCTGAGTCTGAGCATGAATTTGAGCCTGAGCCTGAGCTTGAGCCTGAGCCTGAGCCTGAGCCTAAGCCTTAGCTTGAGCCCGAAGTGAGCCTCAGCTTTAACAAATATCTCAACCCCAGTCTCAGCCTTAGCGAACCGACCTTATCACAGCCATAACCCTAATAATACTTACCATTTTCCTATCCTAGCCAGGCATTACTTTGCTTTTACCATACCATAGCTTTTCCTATTTTAAAAACTTAGTAAATTATTATAATACATAAAAAAACGACCTCCGGCTAAGTTTAATAAGTGCACTTTTCAATACACAGTAATAAAAAGAGTAATTACTGCAAGTTAGAATATCTGACAAACATCAGACATCTTCACATTACTAATAATAAACCTGTTGTAGTAAAAAATTGTACTGGTTTTTTAGACCCATGCTCTAGCAGTTTTTGAAGTTTTTGTAAGAACTCATTTTGTGTCATGGCTACAACCTTAAGATATTACACATGTATTTACAAAGAATACAAGTTGGGTACGTGTTAATGTGCAACGTAACACTAGATAAAACAAAAAAAACTTCGTACCGCAAAAATTGTAAAGAAGCCCAGCTAGGCCAATGTTTTTAATCTAGCCGACTCTTGTAAAGTTTGCTTCAGCTCAGTTTGGCCCAGATAAAAGACCGTGTCAAGCCCAGGTCTAGCCCGTCTTGTTTAGATAAGCCCCTTTCAGATATACGTCCATTAGGTCCATCTCCACCTACTACATAATATCAAACAAAGCAAAGAAAAAACAATAAAAACGTTATTCTTCAAAGCCAATTAGTACTAACGAAGAAATCACATTTATGCACCTTGGAAACTTAGGTCAGTAATTAATCACACAGTGTGGTTAGGTACAGATTAATGAAAAGCTTAAAAAAATGGCATTTCGTTAACGTCACATTTCTTTTTGTTCTGATTTGATAAAGATATTGCTTATAAAAATCCACAATTGTAAAGAGATTCTTACATTTTGGTCTGAATAGTATACAAAAAACGACCACCTTTACTAGAAAACACTATAACTTTAAAAAAGTTAAAATATGAAAAAACTTGTTACATTGAGAATACGTGCATTATAAAAACTTTATAAAACGTACCATTACATTAAAGAAACAGCTGTAAAATTAAAAATGTCCTTACGTTACGCATGTCTATAACTAAAAAATAACTACAAAGAATAAGTGTAAAACACAGAACATAAGAATACCTACCTATAAAATTGTTCATAGGCAATTTCAGTGCAAACAACAAAAAAAAATTTTTTAAAAATTTAAAAATTTAAATAATATTGTTAAGCTGCCCTGACCTTTGCCGTTGCCCTGCCTATGCCCTGCCTTTGCTTTGCCTTTGCCCTGCCTTTGCCCTGCCTTAGCCCTGCTTTTGCCCTGCCTTTGCCCTGCTTTTGAACTGACCTTGCCCTGTCTTCGACCTGCCTTTGCTTTATCATAGCTCTACCATAGTCTTATTCTAGCCCCTCTAGATACTCTAGCTTTATGTACCTTTGGTTTGTGTTTTTTCCTGTCACCTGTTAGCCATACCCTAACTCTGCCCTTAGTTTGACTTTAGCCTGCGGGTAGTCTTCTTTTGGTCTGTGCCCTGCCCAGTAAACTTACTTCTGAAACACTAGCTACACTAGGAACAATTAAGAATGAGTTAAAATATTAAACACTGACCCAGACGTGTCTTAAATATTCAGTCACGTCATCTGTCGCATGACTTAACATGTCCGTATATCAAGGAAAAAAGATACTACAAAAAGGTCAAAATACATTTTAAAATACAACATTAAAAATGTCAAAAATTGACATTTTTGCATTTTTGTACCCTTAGGCACCTTAAATTAAAATTTTTTTTTGGATTTTTTAAAAAGTTTTTCAAAATTTTAATTTTTTATAGTACTAATATTGTTTTTCACGCTATCATAGTATCCCACAGATGAGGAAAACTCAAAAAGCGAAACAAAAAATAAGAAATGGTTTAAACAGATCATTAGCTGAAAACATTCTTAGAAATTCAGCTGACTGAAAACAAACCGCCCCAAAAATAAACAACCCCATAGATTAGGAGTGTACTTTAAAACTGACTTCGATTAATCGCCGTGCACTGTCAAGCTGTGAATTATAAAAATTTATGCATTTTTTAATAGATAGGGTAGGGTAGTGTAGGGTAGGGTAGGGTAGGGTAGGGTAGGGTAGGGTAGGGTAGGGTAGGGTAGGGTAGGGTAGGGTAGGGTAAAGGAATTTGTTTTTGTTTGTCTTAGCGCAACCTACCCCTAACCTAGCTTTACTCTTATGCTAGTACTATCCTCTCTACTTTACTCTAACTTATTCCTATTCAATCCCTAGCCTTACCCTAGACCTACCTTGTCCTTGTTCGTAATGAAGCTCAGCCTTGTCATTACTGTAGCCTGACATCTAGAATTAGCTTTTCTGTACACATATATACCTAACCAAGTCGCCGCCTCAAATTTTAGTCTACTATTTTTTTTCTTCGACATAGCCTAGTCCGTTTCTTTTGTAATCTGCCAGACGCATTATAGTTCCAACCATAAGTTCTACTCTACTATATTCATGTTACCACCCAAATATTTACTCACTCTTCCTTTCCATCCTCCCGCGCATTATCACTGTGCCGTTCCTTCGTTATTAAAATCTCAAAAGAAGGAACAGGAATAACTGTGTAACTAGGCCAATCAAACATTAAAAGCAAAGAATTTGCGTTACATTCAAAAGCTGATGACATGTTTTAGTAGGATTAAATTGAGGAACTTTTTTGTGTTTTTGGAGGAACTTATAATGAAATCTGGAAGTAAATTAACGTTGGCGGCCGACAAATTACTGTAACTCAACATTTATATTTATAAATGTCAAAAAAGGTAGCTAAGACATAGAATTCTAAAGATTTTTTGACCAAAAACAAATTCAAAAACCGAAAATCTAGAAAAGGTCTATTTGAAAAATGAATCGAAGAGGAAATAGCTTTGTAACATACGTAACTGAGTTACTTGCTTACGTAGTAAAGTTAGTTATCTTATCTTTGCATCAAAATAAAATTAAAACAAATTTGGTTATGGTTTATTCTAAAGTTAATTTTAGTGATAGACTAGACTAAACCTCTAAAAAAAATATTTGTTTTTAGCTTTGCCCTGCCTTTGCCCTGCCTTTGCCCTGCTTTTGCCCTGCTTTTACCCTGCTTTTGCCCTGCCTTTACCCTGCCTTTGCCCTGCCTTTGCCCTGCCTTTTTCCTGTTTTTTTCCCTGTTTTTGGTTTGCTTTTGCCCTGCCTTGCCTTTGCTTTGCCTTGGCTTTGCCCTGCCTTGCCTTTGCTTTGCCTTGGCTTTGCCCTGCCTTTGCCCTGACTTCGCCTTAAATTGACTTGTCCTACCAGTTTTAAAAGACCCTACCCGGCTGCATTTTACCTTACCAAACCCTGCCTTAGCCTATCGTGTTGCGCTCTAACTTTCTTTGAATTGCATTGTTTAGCCTTGCCCATTTTCAACCATGCCCTACGCTATGCCGGCGTTAGTTTCTACCGCTTTAGCTTTTCATTAGACGCGTTATAATCCTATATTTGCCCAACTCTCGCTCAACCCTAAATTAACATCAGCTTTTTTCTAGTCTTGCTTTACCCTACCTCAAAATATTATAAGCTAGAAAACCGGAAGACAAGATCAACTTAAAAATTACCCCAAGCCCTACAAATTAAGGTTTAGTTCATTTGCTGGAATTCCAGACGGCGTAGGAAACCTTTTTCGGGCAAAATCCTTTGAGTCATGGGAACGTGCGCCATTGTGCACGTTCTGTCAGTTGCAGCTTGATTTAACGTCAAAACAAAGCCTGGTACTTGGAAGAGCTTTCGCCCCGGAATTTACGCTCTAACACTACTAATAGCGTCAAAAACAAGTTATAAAAGCGGTTACAAACAGATTAGAGATTAGTTTTGAGGGGAAGTGGTAGTAAAGCAGTGGGGTTACGGTAGTTGATCATTGAACAAATAGTAAAAGTGGTATAATGTATAGAAAGTGCAAAGTTATAAAAAAGGCTTTATTGAACTTGTTACCTCAAAATACTACAGTATAGTAAGTTGAGATAGAGTAGGGTACGGTAAGATAAAGTATAGTAAGGTAAAGTATGGTAAGATTAGGTATGGTAAGGTAAGGTAGAGTAGAGTAGTGTAGGGCAGGGTATTACAAGAACTTCATAACCAATATTTTACTACCCCTTGCCTAGAAAAAAAATTTTTTTCTCTGCCTAGTCTACCGACAATAAAACTGTAAAGAAACCAAGCTAAGCCCAGATTTTTGGCCTAAGTACTATCACATTTGCTTCAGCCAAACATGGCCTTGTGGTTTAATGGACCGCCTTCAATTCTAACCGCACCTCAAATTATCAAAAATTAAAGTAATTCACTAACTTCTACGGCCAAATGTTAGTCAAATATCAATTTGTCCTTCTTCAAAACACCCTTAATTGGTATTTTCAGTCATCTCTGATTAACTTTTATTCTTTGTGTCTTTATACTAGTAATTAATAGGTTAAAGTGGCTTATTTTAAAGTAATCTTTATACTTTACTTTTACACAACACTAAATTGCTGTAATGCACCTACTCTTGCCCTACTCATGCCCTGTCCTTGCCCCACCCATGATCTACCGTTGCTCTGCTCTTACTCTACTTCTACTCTGCTTTTGCTCCATTATAAATAGTCCTATCCTTGTTTCGCCTTTAGCCTGACTTTTTTCTACCTTTGCTTTACCATTTGTTGTACCCATACGTTACCATTGTATTAATGTTGCTCTACTCTTTTCTTAACATTGCCTCAACTTTTTCCTACCTCTGCTCTACCATTTCTATATTCTTGTCCGATAATACCTTTGTCATACGCTTGCCCACGTTTGCCTTTATCTTGTTTTACATATGCTTTATTCTTGGCCTAGCGTCGCCCTACACTTTCTATACCACTGTTCTATTTTTACCTTACTCATTGTCTTACTCTTGCCCTGCTTTTACCCTACCTTGTCCTACTCTTGCCCTACTTTTTGCCAT